ATAGGAGACCCTACCATCATATACTGCCAAAAGCTCACTATCCCCAACTTAGGGTGGACGGTGCCTTCAAGGGCCGGGCATACCGCTTGCGATGGAATCGTCGCCCCTAGGAACTAGCAGCGAAAACGAGCGACGGGATCGCTAACCGCTCGGACACGGGCATACCTTAGGCAGCGATCTGTACATTTTCACAATCCAGCGTTTTCAAGTATACGCTTTAATGCGGAGGTTGCACAAGCGAAACGGAGGGGAATTCTGAGCGGTTTTCGGCGATTTCGAGCTCTTTTCGGCTCCTTCTCTCCTTCTTTTATAGCTGGTTATAAGGAGTGGCCATAGGCTGCCGGTATCTGTTGCCGAGTTACGTCGCCGGGGTTGCTAGCCTTGCCGGGGTTGCCGAGTTTGCCTCAGAGAGCACATGACACACGGTACTATGAGATCCACAACGGCGGGCAACGTCGGCAACCTTGACAAACTCGGCAACCCTTGCAATAGTTGAGGCACCCTATGGCCGTTCTCTGATTTTCACTTCCAAAAAAAGAGCTTACACTTTTCATAGTTGGTTCCTCTTTCAGATCTGGTTCAGGCATACGCTCATATGACCCTATAATCCAATAATTTCAGTGCTGTTCTTCCATTTTTGAGATCAATGTTTTTGAAGAATACAAGGATAGTAGTGAACCTTGCACTGGTGATTCACTTAATGGAGTACGTAGTAGAGCATCCAAACTAAGGACGGCAGTGGCTAGACCTTCATCTATATCCCTTCTTTTGCTGGGTGGTGTGATTGCTCTCTAGACAAAGAAAAAATAGATAAAGGGATGATACAAAGCAGGTTTATTACCGCCGTCTTCGCACTACTCAAAGACTTCTTCTTGGTATCTTTCTCCCTGTTATCTTTTTCTACTGCTACCATCCTTCTGAGATCACTTGCCGGCTTCATTAATTCTGCTCTTCTCACAAGTTCGCATGTATCTTCATCGGATTCCTGTTGTTCGGCTAGTTCTCCTTCTGGTCCAAGTATAGACTCGGTGGATACTGATTGCTTAACCTTTGGAAGGCGATAAATTGAGGTAGCTTCCGTTCTCGATGCGTCCATTTTCTGAAAAAGTTTTCGTACATCACTCTAATCAGTCATGATGGGGCAGAGGTGGCCGAGAGTTTAGTGCCCTTGACTATGGCGAGCAAGGTCAGGGTTCGGTTTCGCTGAGGGCCTAACTTTTTTTTAGTGAAG